TATACTGTAACCAACAGCATAAATCACAAATAATTAGCTCAAATGATGAATATCATAATATAATCAATACCATTAGATCATTGTTTTTCTTTGTTCATCTTGTAGGTATAACTCGGATACAACAGCTGAACAAAATCTAAAGTTAATAATCTAAGGGTCAAGGGCCCAACTAAAGCAAACACTCATCTCCATAATGGTGACCTGAAATTCCGGTTTTCTTCTTCAGTGATTCTGCTTCAGGTGTCTTCAATAATGCTCAATCATCACTCAATTAATCACTTAAATATCTCATTAACTTTAACACTCTTGAGTGTGGACTCATATACACTCCCAGGTGTGTTCATTTAACACTGGAGTGTTTGCTGTGTAAAGAGCCGTAGTTAACTGACAAGCTGAGCCATATCGCATTAAATATCGCTGGCGATACGTCCGCGATATTAGTGCGATATGGCTCAGCTTGTCAGTGAACTACGGCTCTTTGTAGTAAATGCCGCTCCATCTGAAAGCAGGTGAAGGCGATTTACTACTAATCAAGGAACTGGCTTTACTGACGAGATGCGCATAACAATATAGTGTGATATATCGCCCAGCCCTAATAAATATGTATTACTTCTCTTCCTTTGAAATAAAAAAATAATTTAGATGTTTTGCTGCATGAACAGTACTATAATTATAATAATATAAATGAAGTTCTAAGTACCAAACCAAAGGAACACCGATCACCATAATGGTGAGTTCAAACTATTTATTTTTTTGGGAAAATCAACATCAATTTATGAAGTCAGCTTATGTGATGTTCTCTCAAATGTTTCAGCTGTATTGAAAATTTAACATTCAAGATGTTTTTTTAGGAAATGAGTGAATTAAACTAGAGAAAAATAACTGAAGTGGAGGAAATGAGAGTTTAGTCTATTAAGAATTGCCCCGCCTCAAAAAGGTATTTTTTGCTTGACATAATGGCACACACACCAATCAATTAATCTTAACTTGGGTTTTCTGAGTAACAAAAGCATACACTCAAAAAAAATGATATGTTGGCTTTACTTAACTTTTTTATGTAAACAGGTTCCACCGGTTCCACATAACTATGTTTCGTTAAACAAACATAATATGTTCATGTAACTTCAACATCATGGAATTTGGTCATTTTAAGCGACCCAATTAAACTCTGAGCTAATGAGTTAATTAAGTGAATAATTGAGTGATGATTGAGCATTATTGAAGACACCTGATGTTAACAAGCAGAATCTCTGAAGGAGAAAACCGGAATGTTTAAATCACCATTATGGAGATAAGTGTGTGTTTTAGTTGGGCTCTTGACCATTAACTTATTAACTTTAGATATGTTTGGTTGCTGTACATGAGTTATACCAGCCAGATGAACAATGAACTAAGGAGATCTGATGGTGTTGGTTGTGATTTAACATAATCATTATTTCACAATCATTTGACCTGAGTCACTGAACTTATATTGAACCCAATTTCTGAGTTAAGTTTACCTTACTGTCATTGTAGAGCATACTATTTTTAGGCTTTTCAATGAAATTCAAATGATCAAATCAAGAAATAAAAAATAAACTACTTAAAAATATGTTGAGTAGGCACACACAGACATCAAGAAACAGCATATGAATCTCAGCAATGGTGACAAACAGATCATAAGCTCATTATTTATTCATGCAGCAATGCATGATGGGAGCCATGAATGAGTTTTGATTGGTGGCACCCAGAATGCACTGCAACATGCTTTATAATTGTCACCATTGTTGAGATTCACAGGCTGATTCTTGATGTCTGTGTGTACCTACTCAAAATATTCTTTTAGGAAGTTTCTTTTTTATTTATTGATTTGATCATTTGAAATTCATTGAAAAGTCTGAAAATAGTATGATCTACAGTGACAATGCTGCTATTATTCGAAAGGTTAACTTAACTCAGAAATTCGGTTTAATATAAGTTCAGTGACTCATGTCAAATGATTGTGAAATAATGATTATGTTAAAACACAACCAACACCAACAGATGACCTTTGATTATTGTTCATCCGGCTGTTATAACTCATGTACAGCAACCAAACAAAATCTAAAGTTAATAAGTTAATGGTCAAGAGCCCAACTAAAACACACACTTATATCCATAATGGTGACTTAAACATTCCGGTTTTCTCCTTCAGAGATTCTGCTTGTTAACATCAGGTGTCTTCAATAATGCTCAATCATCACTCAATTATTCACTTAATTAACTCATTAGCTCAGAGTTTAATTGGGTCGCTTAAAATGACCAAATTCCATGATGTTGAAGTTACATGAACATATTATGTTTGTTTAACGAAACATAGTTATGTGGAACCGGTGGAACCTGTTTACATAAAAAAGTTAAGTAAAGCCAACATATCATTTTTTTGAGTGTAGTATGTGAATAGTACAGATTAGATTTTTACAATTTAGTTAAGAAATTAACTACTATTACTTCAATGAGCTTATTGTATCTGCATTAAATTATTACATTGTTTAAATTATTACATTTTAGCAAACTGTGACTTTGTATATGTACATTTCTGAAATACCTAAGTTAGACAGTGTAAAAAGTAATACGCTATATCTACTCAATAAAACTGTGGCTACAGATTACAAGCAATATTATTAATTAAATATATCAAATTAATCAAATTAATTCCTTAAAAGTCAACCATTTAAAATGAGTAAAATGTAAACAAAAATATCTGAATAACAGACAGATGTCAACGACGAAACTTTTTTTTTATTGCCAACAATGAAGACATCAGATGATAACAAGCAGAATCACAGAAGAAAAGAGAAACACAAGAACTACAACTGACTTCTAAGGCTTGCTTTCTTCAGCCAAAGAAGAAATCAACAGAAAATACATTAAATCTCTTTTTTTTTCATTTCTGTCATTTGTCTACAGTTCTTTTTGAGAATTAACAGTAGTTTAGATGTTAATGGTTTATTGAAAATGTTTGTTTTTCATTTAGTTGGGCAGTTTGACTCTTGGCTTTTTATGTCAGTTTGTGGATTTTGTTATGGTGTTTGCTAAAGTATTTAAATTGTTGCAGAGAAAACCATAAACAAAGGCGATCAGATGATAAAGTTTCAGTCATCGTAAAGAAAATGAATTACTTAGTCTTTTAACTGACCAAAACTTACTTTATATTGAAAGATTTGTTGGCACAGATCATACATTCTGAATTTAGTTTTTTATATACATAGTAGGGGTGTCGCAATAAACCGGTGTTGACGAAAATCGTGATATTCAAAGCATGAAATATCAACATCGTGTTAATTTAGAGTGTGGCAATATACCGGTATTGACGATAACTACAATGTTTAAAATGAATAGGACTGTTATGATAACATGACACGTAAAAACTCCAGCGCGAGTACCTGGTTGACCTCTCAGGTGGTATTGCACCCGCTGCGGCTGACACCTATTAAAGAAGACGCAGCCCGGGCCGCGCAGCTACTGAAGAATGTCGTCTGAGCGAGAGAGTGAAACACTGTCCACACCCGAAAAAAATAAGCTATGGGAGTTCTTCGGCTCAAAAGAAAACAGCACTTTAAAGGGGGTCGCACACCGGACGAGAAGCGCAGTGCCACGTCTTTAAAATTCAAACACATTTTCTCTCCGACCTTGTTCAAAATCCACAGAGCGCCATTTACATAGTTTTATATTAAATTTACATTATATTTGTCTCAAATCATCGTAAATGACTTCACCCTGTGCTGCAAAATACATTTAGTTTTACATTCATTTACAGGAATCAGCTGCTTGAATGAAAATTGCTGATGTTATCGAATTTTCAGGTGATATTCTCAATTCATTCATTTAATGGATGCTCTGATGTAAAGTGTTCAGATCACAGACTCAGCAACTATTGTATTTAATTGTACAGTACAATCATAACATAGTACAGACATTATCTTAATTTCATAATGTCCTTAAACATAAGAATAGCCTACTGCTGGCCATAAACTGAGAGGGTGCGCGTCCGGTGTGCGATACCTCGAGTTGTCCTACACGCGACGCGGCGCTGCAGAATGTGTAGCCACCAACCTTTTTACCCATCTCCGTGTCCATCACCCTGCGGAGTACGCAATTTTACAGAGAATAAATTGTGATTATTTTACTAGTCATGGAATGGGAAATGTGGCATTAACAGGGGGTGTCTGTGTTCATACATTTAATAAAGGGTGATTATTAAGAACCCCCCTCATTTTTTGTATTTGTATTTGCACTTGATTTTTTAAAAAAAAATTTAATCTGCTATCTGCATGACTTTATTGGCGCCGGTGGCCCGGCGCAACAATAGGTTTAAGAGCTTTTCAGTTCTTCAGGAAACATTCAGACAGTGTGAATATTCGCTTCAGTTTGAAACCAGATAAACTCCTAATCTCAATAATGTTGACATGTGTGACAAAGAGTCAAACTGTCCAACTAAATGAGACACTGATCATCATAATGGTGACCACATATTTTCAATAAACCATTAACATCTAAACTTCTGTTAATTCTCAAAAAGAACAGTAGACAAATGACAGAAAAAAGTCAGTCTGGTTAGTAATTAGAGAGATTTAATATCTTTTCTGTTGATTTCTTCTAAGGCTTTGGCTAAAGTCAGTTGTAGTTCTTGTGTTTCTCTTTCCTTCAGTGATTCTGCTTGTTATCATCTGGTGTCTTCATTGTTGGCAATTAAATATAAAGAGCTCTTTATTCATCTTAGTATTCAGACATTTTTGTTTAAATTTTACTAGTTTAAATGGTTGACTTTTTAAGGAATTAATTTGATTAATTCTTACTCAATTCTTATTTGTTAAATTGAATTAATAATATTGCTTGTAATCTGTTGCCACAATTTTATTGAGTAGATATAGCGTATAGTCGTAGAGAGAATCACTGTTGGATTTTACAGTGTACATGTTACTTTTAATACACATTAATCATATTCATATTTATATTATCCAACAAAATTCATATTAATCCAACAAAAACACTTTTACATTGTTACAGATCTGAGGATTGTGTTGCTGGGTAAAACTGGATCGGGAAAGAGCGCAGCAGGAAACACCATCCTGGGTAGAGAAGCGTTTACAGCTAAAGACTCTCTGATGTCGGCTTCAATGACCTGTGAGAATCAAGAAGCAATTGTGAATGGACAAACCATATCAGTTACTGACTGTCCCGGCCTGTTTGACACTTCAGTCAGCCATAAAACCCTTAAGATTTTAATAGAGGAGTGTATCTACCTGTCTGCTCCTGGCCCTCATGTGCTCCTGCTGGTTTTAAGACTGGGAGTGAAATTCACAGAGGAGGAGAAAAATGTTGTAAAATGGATTGAGGAGAACCTTGGAAAAGATGCTGTAAAGTACACTATTGTGCTGTTCACTCACGCTGATGTCCTAAAGGGTAAACCTGTAGAGCAATACATCAGCAAAAGCAAAGATCTACAGCAACTAATTCAGAAGTGTTATGGCAGATATCACGCATTCAACAATGAGAACAGAGATAATCAAGATCAGGTCACAGAACTGCTGAAAATGATAGAAAAAATGGTCAGTTTTAATGGAGGGAAGCACTACACTAATGCCATGTATAAAGCAGCTCAAGAGAAGATTAGGAAGGAGCAGATGCTAACAGAAGCTGGAAAGAGAGGACTAGCAGTAGCGGGAGAAGCAGTGGCAGGAGTTGTAGCTGCAGGGGCCAAAGGAGGCGCAGCTGCGTTTTCTGCAGTGGAAGCAGCAGCCGAAGCAGCAAAGAAGTATTTAGAGGACTAGAAACTTTACAGTGTAATTCAGCACTCTAGAATACCTTTATGAGAGTCTCTAGCTCTTTGGGATGGACTTTTATCATCAATATAAATATATATAGGCTATTTTAAGGGATACAAAATTACAGTTTAATTATTTCCTGACAACCAATCAGAGTATTTCAATGAATTAAAAACACAACAAATACATTCCACATATTATCATGGAGAATATAAATTAGAATATTATACACATTTACATTTATAGACTTTCCATTTGAATTGAGTCTTAATGCTATGAAAACATTGACTAGTGTAATGTCACATTGAATGGGAAACCAATTCAACAACTTTGTGTGAATCCTTTATTTTACTGCAGACATAAATAATAAATGTTTAGCTGCAAATTAAAAAAATATATACATATTGTTTATTCTCACTCTATTAATTTTTGCTTATTTCATATTATCTGTAAAATTAACGACAATGAAGTAAAGTAAATAAAAGTGTGTTCTTTATTCCAGTTGCCTTTTTTATTTTGTATTTGTCTGAAAAAAATAAAAATGTTAAGAACATCAACTTGCATTTGCCTGTTTTGTCATGACAAATTAAAATATTCAATGCCAAGTTCCCAGCAACTGAACAACTACAGCCTGAAATTGTGCGCAGGAACCTTTTTGAATACAATACATTTACGTATTTGGCAGATGTTTTTATCTATTGCATTCAACATTTCATCAGTTCAGTCATTGCTTGGGCATTAAACCCATGACCTTGTGCAGCATCAAGCTCTGTTGGAGCTTGAAGACTAAACATTTACTTACTTGCAAAGTCTTTTTACATTAAAGATGGCAAAAAAACCTGTCAAAATAAAAGTAAACCATATACTCAAAAACATGTTTAGACACTGATTTATCAAAACTCATGGAAAATCTAAAGTCCAAAAAGTAAACAAAAGCAAATTTACAAGGATCAGTTTCAAACCGCGAAAACCTGAAATAACTTTAACAGATCAGATCAGATTAAGACATTATTAGTGATGACGATGGATGAAAAATAGAATCAGTTAATTTAATTTTTTTTTATATTGTATAATTAGCTAAATGAGTCTGGGGTAGGGTTAGGGTGTAATGGGGAATGGAATGGTATGTAGATTGGGATCCCTTTTCTTTCCCCATATATCCTAGTCATTCCCGTTTTTGATCCTATGCTGACTATTAAATTCAAGGAGTTGGATGCGCAGCGTCTTCATTATCGGACTCTTAAGTTAGAGGCTGATAATTATTTTAAATTATGCGGTTTGTAATTTGTAACACCCAACTAAAGCCAACACTTTTCTCAATCTTGGTGACTACAAACTAAACAATAAATCATCAACATTTAAACCTCCGTTGATTCTCAAACAGGGGTGCGTTTCCCGAAAGCATCGTTAGACAACTATGGTCGCAAGTTCCGTCGATACCAATAGAGTTCAATGGAAATTGCGATCATAGTTGGATAACGATGCTTTCAGGAAACAGACTCCAGAACTGTAGACGTCTGACAAAGTCAGTCTGGGGTGCGTTTCCTATAAGCATCGTTGGCCAACTATGATCGCAATTTCCATTGAACTCTATTGGTATCGACGGAACTTGCGACCATAGTTGGCTTCGGGAAACGCACCCCTGGTTAGTAATAAGTGAAGCTGGTAATGCTGTTTGTGGAGTTGTTTAATCCTCCTCTGCTGAGATCCTCACAGATTTAATGTCTTCTTTTCTCTAAAGGTGATTTAATCTAAGACTGTTAATACACAGTTATTTTCTGTGAATGTATTTTTTTAACTCAATGACTGCTCAGGAGAGTAAATGGTGAAATGAAGTGTTATTTTATGTGTTTTCACATGCTTTAGTGGAGATATGTTAGTGTAAATGATCTGTTGGGATTTAAAGTGTTTGTGTTGAGTTTCTCTCCATTGTGTTGGAGAGTAGAGCCAGTTACCATTTATTTTGGTATTAACTTCTTTTAAATTATTTTATACCAACCCCCATTTTACTCAAAACAGTAAGCAAGTTGAACAATATTAACAAATACATAAAAAATGGGCTAAAAAATAAAACAGTCAGTGTGTGTGTGTTAATCAGTCTCACAATTGTCATGAGGTTATGCACTGTCCAATTTTGTTCAATCTTTGCGGTTCCAATAGAAGTGAATGTGTACTTGAAAAATAATAAATGAAAAATATACACTACAAAATAATCTTATTAAGTTGATCCAGTGCAGTAATTTAACATTTATTAACCTGGTCATAAATGAATTAAAGTTTTTTTTTTTATCTCATCTATTCAATTCAGTTCAATTCATGTTTATTTGTATAGCACTTTTCACTATACACATCATTTCAAAACAGTTTTACAGAAAATGCATGAGTCCACATTACAATTTACAGTGATCTGTTATCGACTGTGTGTCCAAATAATTCCCATATTTCAAAATATCATGTATACATTTAGGCAAAAACAAGGAGCTCATTAAAGCAATTATTACAAGCTGTGATCATAATAATTACAATATAGAAGGAAAATTGTAGCATTGGTGCATGTTGATTCAGTTTGCGTCACAGAGATGTATAACGGCCCTCCAATGTATGTTATCTTTGAATCTATATCTCTTATCTATGTAACATATCTATTTAATCAGGGTTTAAGTTCTATAAAATAAAAACATACTTTTGTTGCATCAAATCAAATTTTGTTTGAATTTTAAAGCACTTTGAATTATAATGTATGAAATGTGCTAAATAATAAATCTGCTTTGCATTTTTTAAATATGCATTGGTTTAATGCTTTGCTGATAAAGGTTTGTTAAACATTTGGATAAAATGACTTTTATAACCAAAGTTCCAAAATGATGATGACAGTGAAATAAACTTAAAACCTGTAACAGATTTTCAATCGATTTCAAGACTAATCTGCTAATATTTTCACTTTACTTTTTGCATTTCTTCACTACTACTACTGCTGCTGCTGCTACCCCACAGACTACTCCTACAGTAATTGCAGTTTTAAGCCACAAGTTAAGCCTTCGCTGGACATCATTAAACATCTCATTAGTGTAGTGCTTTCCTCCATTTTTAAGCACCATTTCATCCATCTTATCCAGAAGCTCGTTTACTTGATCCTGATTCTCTCTGTCCACATTGTTGAATGCATGATATCTGCCACCACAGCTCATAACAAACTGCCGTAGATCTGGACTCTCTTCTATACGTTCTTTCAGTGGTTTACGTAGTGAATCAGCATAAGTGAACAGAATGATGGTGTAACGAGCAGCTTCTTCTCCAAAGTTCTCCTGAATCCATTTCACAGCGTTCTTCTTTTCGTCTGTGAATCTCTCGTCCAGTCTGATGACTAGCAGAAACACATGAGGACCAGGAGCAGACATTCTCATGCACTTCTTAATTTCTCCCTTCATTTTCTTTTGATTCCTTTTGGTTGTATCTTGGAGGCCTGGAGTGTCGATTATCGAGATACTCCTGTTACCTTTTCTTGTCATTTTTCTCTCAGATTGTTTTGTAACTGAATCTGCATTCAAATCCACTTCAAACACATCTCTGCCCAGAATTGTGTTTCCTGTTGCACTCTTTCCAGCTCCAGTCACACCCAACATAACAATCCTCAGATCTCCTGAAGATAGAAAGACATTTTTTTTTTCAAAATAACAAACACACACACACACACACACACTCAAACATCAGTTAATCATACAAAATTGGTAATGGATTAGAAATGATATGGTACTTTTTGTCCTTGAAGTTTCACAGTGATCACTTGTTTGATTTTCACCTGGCAAGATTATAAAACTGGTGAAAGTCTCATAGACTTTTAAATTGTAGAACAGACCTGAGTCATGGAGATTCAGTAAACAATCGTAAAATTCGTAAGTGCAAAGTGGTTTAGCAAGTACCAACAGAAAAGGAAAACATGTTATGTTTAGTACATTTTTTTTTACCATTATGCTTTCTTTTAATTATTTTCCACATGCTTACACAACATAACTAATTTATGAATTATCCCTTTATCAGGTCAAGTAATAAACTGATTTCTCAAATTAGTATCTAATTTCTCCAATGATTTTATTCTCATGATTTTCCAATTCAATTAACATTTTTTTTGTCTTTTTTATTGTTGTCATTTTTAGAAATCCAATAGCTTTGTTTAGAAACAAATACAGTTTATACTCTAATTTCGTGGTTAGGTAATCAAATTTTGTTAGAATGTCCAGAATAAGATTAATTTTCTTCTTGATTAACCGCATCAGATTAATCAGGTGGTTTACTGACCTGTAATTGGTGGTGCCATTTCTCTAGAAATCCTCTTTTTCTGGTTCAGATGCTCAGTGATCGCTTTTACTTGCACTGCTCCCTGCTCTCTTACTCTTTCTTGATCTGGATGAATCAATGACGGATGAATGGAAAGGACAGAGTGCTCAGGTTAACTCCCCGTATTTGAATATATAATCACATGACTGAAGCGTGCAAATGTTTCCCTTTAACTTTTCAGAGATATATTGTATTATGTTCTAAAATAATAATAAAATCTCTTTTTCACTCTTAATCTGAAATTGCAGTTATTCGCAGAATTATCAATTTTTACATGGGTTGTGTGTCAGCGTGGATGAATCCAATGTTTTGAGGAAAATGTGCCAGATACTGTCATTCAGAATCACAGATTCTACTTTTTACATAAGAACTTTCACCGGAAAATGTAATCTGAACAAGTAAGTAACATCCACTTTTGTTCTGATCAACTATAAGAGAAAAAAGCATGCAGTAAATCAAGCTGATTAAATCTAAAGATCGCTTTTCATATCACGTCAAACCGTGCAAATTATACTTTAATTGTTAATGTTAACAACATCAGCATTGCGTGACTACATTTAATGCCCTTCCAATATTATCCTTGTTTTCGCATGGGTCCGGTTGCAGTCTCTTTTTTTCTGTAGCCATTCCGAAGTCTTTTGCATTTTACAGCGGGTGAATCTGTTGTCACTGGTGATTGTCGTTTGAAACTTTCTGGATCCGCCATCAAATTGATAAGTTTAATTATATCAAGTGCTGTGAGAAAAGGCTATAAATCTCCACTTCCAACATCCTCACACTAATACACTCTCAGAAAATAAAGTACATAATTAGGGGTACAATGGCTTGTCACTGGGGCTGTACCCTCAAGGGTACAATATTGTACCCTTGGCATAGGGTACATATTTGTACCCTTGTGATTTGTACCTTAAGAGACCAGTCTTGTACCTGTGGTGACAATTTTGTACCTTTATTTAACAGTACAAAAATGGACCCTTCAAAAATGGTACAAAATTGGCTTTGACAGGGTACAATTGTTGACTATATATATATATATATATATTACACACATGCTGAATTAAAATCAGAAATTATTAAATCCTTTTAATTTTCACATTTTCCAACATTTCATTTTAAACTCAATGTCTATACATCCCAGAATCCCGTTCTCTCAGATGTCTGATGTTCACAGTGAAGACTGCTGATCTTGTGTCGTCATACAGAGAGAATCTTTCCTTCTGAACCCATTTATTTTTTTCATTAGTCCTGATGAGATCAGAACACCACTCAGACTTTGGTTTATTTGGCCTCTTTCATACAAAAATACTTTTTATTCCCTGTAGATCCTTTATCATATTTGCATGTGATGTTGACTTCTCCTCCTGAATGTCCTGTCACACTCATGACACCTACAACAAACCAGCATTTATATTCAATTAGGCCACTGCTTCTTAAATTCCACAACATGAACTGAAGATAAAGACTCTCTCATCAAATCTGTGGTGTTTTCCATGATGTACTCTGAGTTCAGACTCTTACCAGGAATCATCATCAGAGTGAAAGTCCAGATGATCTTCATTCTTCTCTCTTATTAAATGATCTTCTCTGTTGTTAGTAGATTCAGTTTTTCTGAAGCTCTCGGTGTGTGTTCAGAAGAGTTTTGAGTGTTTCGTTTCGGGTTACATGTTTAACATGAAGAGCTGAATGTGTCGAGACGCCCACTTCCTCAGAGAGAGAGAGAGAGAGAGAGAGAGAGAGAGAGAGAGAGAGAGAGAGAGAGAGAGAGAGAGAGAGAGAGAGAGAGAGAGAGAGAGAGAGAGAGAGAGAGAGAGAGAGAGAGAGAGATTAATAAAGTGAGAAGTGAAACTACATGTGCTTCAGTTGACAGTGACATCTGATGGAAACATTTGCAACAGCAGCGGTTAACATTGCAACTATTAGTGCAGGTTTCTGATTAATCAACAGAATTAATATCACAGTGAGGCACAGTATGACTGGCAGAATAGAAAACAGGAAGTACAACAAAGTCCAGGGACAAAAACAGAAACAGAGAACACATGAAAGAGCCCCCCAAAAAAAACAGAAGTCCAGGAGGTGGTGAATCGGGGAAGGGACGCAGGGCCAGGATTTCTCTTTTCTTATCACTCCATAAATCATAAAACAGAGTCAACAGCCAGAGAAAAACAGTTGACCATATTTTCAAGAGTAATGAGTCTGATCTCCTGCTGGTGGAAGAGAGTCATTGAGATGTTCAGCACCACGGACAGAGATTCATCACGACACACACACACACACACACACACACACATTCACAGTCTGTCCTGATGATCTTCTGTTCTCATCAACATCAAATTACACTTCAGAAAGTCTTATGATGCTGGATAAGTGACCTTCAATGAAACATTACATAAATCAACAAATCATAAATCAGTTTATTTGAAGAGATGAGACTTATGTAGTGAGAAGATATTTATAAAAGCAATAAGTTCCATGAGGCTGATTATTTATACATATTTTTTGGCTTGGTTTTGTGTTGAGGATGTTCACACTTGATCATCATACGACCTCCTGAGTGGCCAGTCGCTCTAGACACGCCCACTTTAGCTGTCAATCACAAATATCTGACTGAATCAGTGTCTTCATCAATTTGAATGTGACATCTAGCAAATACTGAAGCACACTGACTATCTGAACTAACTAAATGACACTGATAGTTTGTTCTACTCGCCCATTATGTGCAAATAAACGCAAATATTAATAATGGAGTAACTGTACGAGTAACTGTAATTTTCACAATTATGAGTTTCTGTTCAGTCACAGGATGTTTGTATTTTTTATGCTGAATTTTCTCTGTGTGCAAGAGGGTTGTTATTAAGGGTTTTTAAAGTATAACATTGTATGGACCTCCTTTGATTCAGTAGTAAATTAATCAGTGAGAAAGAGCGCCATCTGGCTGAAGTTTTCATGTCTTGTTTTCATGCAGATTCTTATGAATACCATAGTGAATGTAATAACATTTGTGTTAGTTTGTGTTTTTATTGCGAGTGTCAGCAAACACTTTGAGTTAACTGATTCAGGATATTATGCCTGCTATTTTAGTGCCTGGCTAAACACAGACTGATTGAAGGCAGTGTACACTGTAAAAAATAAAATCGTAAAAAAAGGGTCAAATGACTGGCAGCAAAGGCTGCCAAACAAATACCGTAAAAATAAAGTAAAATATCCTAATTTAAATTAAGTGCAAAAACATTTAACAGATATTTTTCTTAAATGTTTTACAGAAAAACAGTGTTATTTTACAGCTATTATCTGGATTATTACGATCAAACACCCTAACTGTAAAAACAATCCCATAAAAAACAGTCAATGACTTTCAGCAATGGCTGCCACACAAAAACCATAAAATGAATGCAAAATAGCCTAATTTAAATAAGTGCAAAAGTAGAAATCTTCATTAAGCTTTTTAACAGAAACACAGTTATTTCACATATTTTCAGATTTATTTATTAAGAAACATGTAGGTGATGCATGATTTACTGTGACTATACGTCACTGCATTAGCAACTACACAGTTACTGTCAGTTAAATAAAGCAACATGCAGCATTTCATCAGTGTGATTCTGCTCATCCTGAACTGAAGCACAGGCTCTACTCTTCAACACAATGGTGACCAACAAAACACACCATACCGAAACAATTTGGCCAGACTTTATTTATTGCATACTAACATTCTTACTGAGAATTAACAGATGTTTAGAAGTTTTTTTTTTTTTATGGAAAATAATAAAGTTTGATGTCACCATGATGGAGATCAGTGTTTGCTTTCATGGGGGTCTTGACCCTTTGGTTTTAACATTACTTTTTCTCTGGCTGCTTTAACTGTGTGTTGCTGACACATATTTCTTATAGTAGCAATCCAAGAGAAACTCAGATCAGAAGATTTGATCACTTATTAGTGATAATAGTCATCATGTAGTTGAATGCTCTATTGATGCCACCTAAAGAGTGTAATATCTGATAAATTCATTAAATATTAGTTGTTAATTTTGCAAACCAATACTGTTATAGAAGATCATGCAGTGCCGTGACACTAAGATTTTATCAAGTCATAATACAGATTTTTTTTTTTGACAGGATCGTACAGACTCACACATACATCAAGAATCAGCGTATGAATCACTACAATGGTGATCAACTACTATAAAGTCACATAAAGGCTTTGTTGATTGTCACCATTGTTGAGATTCATATGTTGATTATTGATGTCATACTCCTAAAAAAAATGAAGCAGCTCAAACATTTTCTTTATAATAGATATTTTTCTTAAATTTCAGATTGGAATAATATTGTTTCAATATTTCAGGGTTCAAAGTATGACATATTTCATGGGGAAAAGTATGAAAATCATAGACTTTATTTAAAACTTAAGCACGTCTATTTATAATGTAATTTCAACAGATACACTCAAATATTTCACTGTCATATCAGAGAATCAGGTCACCATATGATGACTATAACATAACCAATAAATGACCAACATCAGCTGATATTTTCTCCTGCTTTAATTGCTATAACAAATGTATATCGAATATACAGTTAAAGCAGCCAGAGAAAACTAATGTTATAAAATTAAAGGTCAAGAGCCCAACTAAAGCAAACACTGATCTCAATCATGGTGACATCAAATTTCTGTTAAAGTTTTTTGCACTTTATTTAAATTAACATATTTTACTTTAATTTAATGTTTTTTATTTGGCAGCCGTAGATACCAATCATTTCACCCTTTTTTTTTAACGATTTTTTTACAATGAAGGTATTTGATCATAATAATGCAGGAAATACCTGTGAAATAACAGTTTTTTTTTTGTTTATTTAAAATATAATATTTTACTATAATTTTATGGTTTTTGTTTGGCAGCCTTTGCTGCAAATCATTTGACCCTTGTTTTACGATTTTTTTACAATGAAGGTATTTGATCATTATAATGCAGGAAATACCTGTGAAATAACAGTGTTTTTCAGTTTATTTAAA